TCAAAATACCTGGATGAACAGACCACTAACTGCATTAGAAATGCTTCACGGCTCTACCATCCCATCAGAAAAACTTCGGTTTGGGACATACCTCAATTTCTGAGTGTTTATTAAATGTTCCACTTAATCAGATGAGTCTTTTGGAGTTAATTGATAAAAGCTGCAGGTATAACACTCATCATGAGAGCAGTCTAAATAATCCCAAGAGAACTGCTACCAGTCTGCCACTTTCCATTTTCTACTACGATCACTGATCCTTAAATGAAAACACGGCGATTCCCATAGAGGTGAGCGCCTTTGAATACAGACCATCGGGAAACACCGATTTGAAACTAAACCTCAGCGGTGGCTGGGAGAGCTGACTCACTGCATGAGATCAAACAGGTCCGTTTGGGTCCAAAAAGGGAACTGGAGGGTCAGGAGATGGACAGGCCTTTGTGTTACACGCTGGGAAAAGGCAGGACCGTGTATCCCCAAAGCCTGTTTAACAGGACAAACGAGAAAACAGTGAAGCTGCGCCACAATACCGCCCGCAACAGCGAGGAAGGCAGGGGCAGGTCCAGCTTTTTGCACCTACGCTGCCGTACATGAAGTAGGACACGCTCGTCCCCAGGCATCCTTCCATCCTCAGCCCTGACACACACACTGTTTGTGTCTTACAGCTTCCTGGGAATGCAGGCATGCTGGATGCTCACTCACCACACAGGCATGAGAGCCTATCGGATCCAGTCTCCAGCGTAACCACATCCATCCAGTGGATCATGAGCCCAGCATGAACTATCCAGCTTTTCAATTGGTTTGTTAGCTGGGCTGTGCATGTCCAGACTCAAGACAACAAACTACAAGAAGGGCCGGAAGAAGGATTCAGGGAACTATATACCTGTCAGTGTAGCAGATCATCTTGAGCGCCACCACACAGCGCATGCAGGACAACCAGGTGATCACCATGGGTTTATGAAAAGCAGGTCCTGCTTGACTCTCCTGATCTCCTTCTATGACAAGCTGAGCCACTTAGTGAACGCTTTCTGTGAAGAAATTTTTCCTAATATCCAATCCTAACCTCCCCTGGCACAACTTGAGGCCATTTCCTCTTGTCCTATCGCTTGTTACTTGGGAGAAGAGATCAACCCCCACCTGGCTACAACCTACTGGCTTCTCCAGTTGTAGAGGGCGATCAGGTCTCCCCTCAGCCTTCTTTTCTCCAGGCTAAACAACCCCAGTTCCCCCAGTCGCTCCTCATCAGACTTGTTCGCCAGACCATTCACCAGCTTCGTTGCCCTTCTTTGGACACGCTCCAGCACCTCAGTGTCCTTGTAGTGAGGGGCCCAAAACTGAACACGGCACTCGAGGTGCGGCCTCACCAGTGCCGAGTACAGGGGGACAATCACTGCCCCGGTCCTGCTGGCCACACGATTTCTGATACAATGCCACGCTACAGGCAAGGCTGCCACTGCCGAGAGGAAGGTAAAAGCAGGAACGTGTGGGACAGGCACCTTGCTGGTCCTCAGCCATAACCGGATGCCCAACAAGCAGCACTAACCCTGCCAAAATTCATTTTGCAATTTCAAAGCCGTCAAGACTCTTGCTGAATTTCTCTGCTAACTGGAGAAGCAAAGCAGCCGTGCATCACTCAGCAGCTGCCTCACAGAGCTGCCAACGGCATGGGAAGGAGCAAAGCAACTCCTTTGGGATCCCCTGAGATGATGGTACAACAGAGGTTAGATTACCAGCAACCATCTACCCATATGATATCAGCATTTAGCACTTGTCCCAGCAGCAAGGGGAAAGCCTGTAAGTGCGATAGAGAAAAGATGACAAGAACTGTTGAACTTACATCATTATGTCACATCTTAGAGAACCTCTCCAGGAAGAGGACACACAGCCAAGTTCTCTCAGTCACCACGTCAACAAAGAATATAATCAGCAAGAAATCTGAACTGCACAAAGTCCTACTAGCTGAAAGATGTATTTAAGTTGGCTCTGCAGAGAGGCAGGACAAAGCAGCAGCAAACACAGCAGAAACAACCTTGTGCCCTCCTCTCCAGGGAAGAGAAAGACAGCCTAAGGAGTTCTTCCAGAGCTTCAAGTGAATGGATCCCAGTGCCACTTCCCAGTCCATTTTCCAGTCCAAATAATGGCTCATCTACTGGAGTGTAATTCCTCTCCACTGCAGAAAGCAAGAAAGAAATTTAGAACCCATTTCATAATTATGGTGGGGAAGCATTTTTAATTCACTAAGGCATCAGTGTCCATGCTTCCACCAGCACAGCGAAGCGCAGGGAAAAGGAGGATTTGTGGCATTTATGAAGTGAGGAAGAGTAGTCTCACATGTGCGCATACAGATGTACACACAGGAAAAGGCAGGCAGGACATTTCCTTTGGCTTTTAGTCATTTTAAGAACCGAATCAAGACATGTTTTGACAGCAGATGCTGCAGTTTGCAAAGAAAAAGAGCCACAAGGCATGGTCACCAAGTTTTGTTAAAGCAGATACTCGTTTCCACATCTCTGAGCTAAGACTGCAAAGCACGCAGACGCAAGCTGGAAAATAACTTAAGTCACTTCAACAGAGACAAATCCCAACTCTTACAAACCAGGGTTTTGTCTGTGCTACGTTTGGCTAGCATCTATCAGGAATGGTTTGATAATCTGATCCACTTTTGGACAGGGGAACGAACTACATGCTCTCCCAAAGTCACTTCCAGACCTATTTTCCTTTTTTTCCTACTTTCTCTAAACTTTTTAATTTGCCAACTTCCCATTTAGATCAAAGCCACAAGCACAACCATATTTCTGCTCGATCTACATATTTTCAGCCCTATGCAGTTTAAGATCAAAAATCTTTTCAGTATGAGAACACTACCTTCAATCAAGGAACTAGGATTCAGAATATGCTCCCAAAAGACACAGGCTTTTGGCAGCTGCCAGTCAGGCTCCTAGAAGGGCAGAAGATTTTGATCCATTTTGTATATTCTTAACCTATGTGAAGTTTCATTTCATCTCTAAAAAGAAAAGATGTTTGCCAAGTCAAGTGAGCTTCCACGGGTGCTAAGAGCCTTCCCAAGGCAGCAGCTTCAGTGCTGTGACCTCCTCTACGATGCGCACAGCTGAGCAAACTACAGCAAGGCCTCTGCTCTGCACAAAACCAGGTATAAACCCAGACCTAAATGGAGAGCAAGGATCTGGTGTAACCTCAGGTCTGTTCCTGGATCACCTCAACAGCTTATAAGCCTGTAACCAGCAGCATCTCAGTTTCCTCATGTGTAAAATGCTGTTGCAACCCCAAATTGCTCTGTATCTCCAGAGCCTACAGCAGAGCTGCTCAGCTCAGACTCTCAGCAAGCACATTAAGTTCTTTAAAAAGGAGCTTTACAGCATAAAGATTTATTAAATGACTCATACTGGACATGCCACACTGGAGAAATGTCCCCACCATGCAGTCTGTGAGGTCCAAGTCCTAAACTCACCCCAGAACAGGCAGTAGGCATTTCTCACGAGGCTGAAGGGCTGCATTCCCCATCCCACACATCACCATCACCCATGGAAGAAAAGCCTCGTTGCCTCCACATCACCATCACAGCTAGATCTGGCCACCTGCTGTATCCAACTCCTCACAGAAGAGCAACCACAGTGCAAGTATAGCCAAGACCTCCAACCACACGTGCTGCCTTCACGCACTGCATGAAAACTTCCAACACAGAGTGTCTGGAGGAGCAGCCTTCATGCCTCTCCAGACACAAAAGGGTTTGCTGACATCCTTAAATGGAGCAAGACTCAGCCCCAAAGTCAGGCAACCGCTTCAATGCTGGACCATCAACACAACTGCACATCATCTTCTCCCTGCCTATGCCCCTTCCATGAGTCACTGCCCACCTCCTAAAGCGCTAGGTCCAAAGTCCTCCCCCCAGCATCCCTCCAAACCCTCCCTCAAACACACACATTAAGAAAAAAAAAATCATCATCATCTTCTCCCACAAAAAAAACTTCTCTGTTTCCTGAACTGCAAGCCTCCGTTCTTGTCTTTTCACCTGTCAAAATACCGCAGCATCTCAATGCAGAGCTGAACGGAAAAAAACTATAAACCCACGTGTAAACGCAGAACAGGAAACCACAGAAGTGTCTTCCTGAAAACAGAGGTTCAACAGCTTTACTTTCAGAGGCAGATCACAGCTACGTCGTGGCCCAAACAGCCTCCCGATGCCTACGCACAGCGTCACCAGCCACCCTGCCGTACGTGAACAAGCAGAGCGCAGGCACAAGAGCGAAATGTGCTTCATATACATCTGAGAAAACTGAATCTCAGGGAGGCGAAGCCATTTGTCCGTGATAATGTCACCACCGAATAGCGGAACCAGATTTCAAACCAGAAACATCACAAAAACATTTCATGCATGCATAGGTGAGGCTCTCCGAGCCCCAAGCAGCTGATTTCTGCTCGGAGCATTGCCAACCCAAGGCAGCAGGACGTGGACGCAAACTACCTGTTCGCAAACGCAATGGACCCGGTATTCCTCTAATTACTGCTATTTTAAGTAAATTGCATACAAAACCCAGATGCCCACAGACATGGCACTGGGATATAGGTGCATTAGGTAGGCCTGTAGTTGCTAGAGGAGTATCTCATGACACGCACAAGCTTTTGCCTGGTGCAAAAAGAGAGCTTAGTCTTACAGATGTATTATTGCCTCTGCCATCCTCTTCTTTCCTTGAGCACCTTCCTATTTGATGCCTGCAATTCCAGCAAAACCACATTAAAAACAAAAAGCAGCTTTAAAATGGCCTCGTCTGGAGTTGTCAAAGCACGAGACAGCTCTTCGGTAAGGCAGAAGTCTTACTCCAGCCAAACTTCTGCTCCTCAATGCTGGCTCTGGGACCAACAACAGCAGATTCACCTCCTGGAGGACCTGGTAACCCATTTCCAAATCCAAGAGCCTCCCTTGGAACCATTTCGCCAGCACGCAGTCAGCAAGCACCGTCACCCTTTGGGATGGCTGTTCCTACCTTCCTTGTTGGAGATCTGCGTCCTGGTGGCCGGCAGCCTGCAGAGCCTGTGCTTGGTGACCTGCACCAGACCCTTGGGTGAGCGTTTCGGTGTCGCAGAAGGTTTCCCCCGCAAGGAATTTTTCTTCCTGACATGGAAGTGGCTTTTCAGAGGTGCTGTGGGCAAGGAGCTGTTCTTCTTATCTGTTGGGGAACTGCAAAGGACAACACCACATGGTTAGAAGAGCGTAGAGAGGTGATCGAAATGCACTTGGTCACCTTGCCCAGAGCTGAGAAGAGAAGCTGGGTCACCAAGCTCCACACTGCTCCCCTACCCAGGGGTGGTAAGAAGCACCAAAGAGAAAATTGCAAGTAAATAGGCAAGTGTGATGAATTTCTAGCAAAGCACAGAGGGAGAATGAGGTATTTGACAGCTTAACTCGACTCATTCCCGTCTGCTTTCTGTTCAACAGATGCGGGGGAGAGGATGGTGGTCTCATCTCCCTGACTGCCAAAAAATTGAAAATAATCCCAGCTTCTCCAGACACCTTGCTCCAGAGTCATCCTCCCAGCATGATCCACCCGCAGACACGTTCCCCAGCAAACCAGGAGGGCAAGGCAAGGATGGAAACCTGCAGTGAAGTGCTGAGCAGAGGATCTGGGAAACAGAAGCAGGAACCAAGACATTAGATTCTCAATCAGGGCTGTGTTACCAGCTCATTTCATCACTTGGAATAGTTATTTAGGCCACAGTCCTCAATTTTCAAGAACTCAGGCTTGGCAAGAAAGGAGCCAAACCACGTGTCCACTGCACTGAGGTATCTCCGAGATCAGCGGTAGAGTAGAGGTCACGGAGCTGTGCCACCAACCCTCGCCCCATCCCGTTTATCCCTTCCCTGCAGCACAGGCTAGGTTTGCATCCAGCCCTGCCGAAAAAAGCAGCACAAAACAGCTTTCCTACCGGGAGCACAACACAACAAAGCCCTCACAGCACTTCCACAACACACCAGCTTTCAACAAAAGTTTGGTCCCAATCTCTTATGTTTCCCCTCGACTCCCAGCCCAGCGCAAACCCCTTTTGCAGATAACTCGGCCCACACACCTTTTCCTACCATCAAGCTTCATTTATAAACTTCCCATTGCACTCTGTCCCTATCAGACACATCCAGGGGGAAAAACTTGCTCCACAAGACCCCAGGAGTATCTGCTGGTCCAGCACAGCACGCTCTCCCAAGGCAGCTACGACAGCCACAGATCTGTCACTGACTCAACAAGGAGAAGGAAGAGAGAGAACCTTCAGGGAGGACGCTTTGGATTACTGGTAGGTAGCACTAATGGATGGCACCCAAGGGAAGGAAATACCAGCAGTGCATCACAGACAGCGCTGCTTCCCGGTACACACAGCTCACCTCCCGTCCCTGCTCCATCCCAGGGTCTGCACGATGCTTTATGGGGACAGACCATACACCATACGGCAATTCAAGCCACTTTTCCTCCTTTCCCCAGCCCCCAACGCAACAAGGTTATGGGAGTTTGAAAATAAATCAATAAGGGAAGGCAGCTATTTCCTTCCCTTTGAATATTAGTCTGTTATTAAGGTCAGGAAGGAGTGTCCTAAGCGCTGTGGCAAAGTCTTTGGAGAACAGGGATGGGAGATGAGAAGAAAACCCAGCTCTGTTTGAAAGATTAAATTCAGACTTACACAAACTGCTAAAACAATTAAAACCTGAGGCCTTCCAACCCTGGAAAGCAGGATGCCTCCACCCAGAACAAAGTCACCGCACTTGGAAAGAGAAAGGCAAATATACCTTCCAGTATACAATAACCCTCGTTGGAATTTCACTCATACATATGGCCATGACTTATACGAAGCCAATGGACACTAAATACGGCCAGTGCAACAACACTGCTCCAAAGACGACGAGCAACTTACCTCGAGTTTCCTTTTCTCTTGATGATTTTTGTCCGACTCTTCACTTTATAACTGGACAGCACGGCATCGCCGAAGGAGGACTTCGCCCCGCCAAGACCAATAGACGCAGCGCTTGGAGGCGGTGGGGCAGCGTCAGCTCGAGGAAGGTCGGGCGCTGGAGGCTTTTTCTGATCCTCGGATTGCCACCTGAATGCTGACTTGGAGGTGGAAGGCGAGGTCTGCAGGCTGGAGGCTTTCCACTTATATTTGCTGGGAGAAACACCCAGTTTGGACTGCAATCCCGATTTCTTCAGTTTTGCTCCCAAGTCTGCTTTTGGCAATAGTTTGGTACCTCTGTCCACTCCACCAGCAACCTTCTTAGAGCTTTCAGAAGCTCTAGGGCTAACCCATCTCTTCACAGTACGAGAGCATTTACCAGGGTTTGCGACCCACGTGTAATTAGTTTTCCTGAACTTCGGAGCTTTGCTGGAAACAGATGTTGAGGCAGCTCTTTGCAAACCAGCGGCTTTGGGAACTACGGAAAACCTGTTCTTCACTGGAGTCACCCCAACCACCACAGTCGCAGCCTGAGCAGGTCTAGAGCGAGTCTCACCATTTCCAAGGAGCTTCGGCTCTCTAAAAGCATCCCTGACTTGCTCACAACTAGAGTGCTCTGGAACCGGCGGTTCTGCCTTCCTCCGTACCAAGTACCGAGGCGACTCACGATCTGGCAACACCGAAGGCTGTTGCGGCTCTGATTTCAGCGTCACAGCACTTTCACTGGTGCTTCCGCAGGAGGCAGGGCAACTCCCAGCCACGTCGCCGGCCAGACACACCGTTCTAGGCTTATCCGACATGCTCACATGTGCTGAACTCACGAACCGGTGAGATGAACTAAATGAAATGGAGAGAGAAGGTCTTCTCTCTTCATTTCGGCTTGCGTACAAAGATTTCTGCACGTTTTTACTGTCACCTGGAGCAGCGACCATCGTTTTTAGCCCAGAAAACTCACAGTATGAACCCACATCAGCAAAATCTTTCGTATCTACAAACAGGCCAGCCCTCTGTGGCAGCTGGATCCCTACAACTATATTACCATCTGTGGTTAAGTCCACATGTCTCTCTGGGGACGATTCTGGTGGCTCAGGTGCCTGGTTGTCCCCCGCATGGCTTCCAAAAGCCTGAGACGTGCTGGTACTTCCACCGCTTCCAACGTCACATGCCGATCCCAGTGGCCGGTTGACAAGGGAATATTTTTTCCTCCAGGAGTTACCCTGGTGCAGCTGGAAATCCCTGGGAGCCTGCTGGGGGTACCTGGCTGAAAATGCACCCCTCCTGC